AGAGAGAGCCCCGAAGTGAGAAACTCGCGTCTCCGAAGCTCCAACAGCTTGAGCCTGAGATCGTCAATCCCGTCCGCTGAGCCCTTGGCCCAGTGCTCTCGAGGCACTGCGACCCGGCGATCGAGCGGAGGCCGCAGCAGCGAAGGCCAGCCCTAAGAACCGCAAACTCCCGTAAATCCAGCCCTCAAGTTTAAAGCATCGCGTTGCCAGTGATCGCAATCATGCCAGTTGTGCTGATGTGGGTCGTAGCAGGCTTTGCGCCAGGCAAGATCCCAAAGTCATCTCACCGCCACATTTCCCATGCCATCACCATCATCTTTGCCGATGCCACTTCAATTACCGACTATCGTGATCGTCGATTTTCCGCTTCTTCTTCCTACTCCTTGTCATGGGCGTCACCATCATCATCATCATCATCATCACCATTGTCATCGTCTCCTTCCTTTTCTTCTTGTTCGTCGTTGTCATCTCGTCCTTGCCGTCATCCCAAGGATCACAGCCAGCATCAGCAGCGATGCAAGCATCATCGCCACAGGGGTTGGTGGATTCAGATTGAAGCTCGCTTTTCCTTCTTGACTGTCTGTCAGTGGCCGTTTCAGGACGTCCAGTCTTTCCGGTATGATGATGGCGCCTCGAATCAGCACTACTGCCGCGTCTGATTCTTCGTCCAATCTGGGGGGGGAGTTGTTGGGCTGGATTCACATAGGGCTTCGTAGCGACGTCGTTGCCTCTCGGCGCTGCATCCACAGCTTTCTTGGAGTCATATATGGTCGAAGGCTTGGGGTTTCAGTGTCTGGCGTCTTGGGCTAGGGCTCATCGGATTCGAGAGTTTGGGCTTTAAGGCTTTGGCTTTATGGTTTAGGTGCCTCGGGTTCTCGAAGCTCCGAAACCAACAGATTGCAGCAGGCCACTAAGATGCAGGAGACCCGAAACCTGAGAGGTGTAGGGTTTGGGGCTTAGGGTTTAGGGCACCGCTTCAACCTCCGACTCACTCCTTGGCTCCTGGAGGCCTCGTGACTCTGGGTGCCCGGCAGTTGGGCGCCAAGGGGAGTTTTTTTTTTGGTTTTGGGAGCTCGAATAGGGGTTTGTTTTTTCAGAGTGGTCTACGATCTATAGTGAGGTTTCTTTCAGGTTGACATTAGGGGTTCAGGACTTGGGGCGCAGAGCCACAGCACCTCGGCGAGTGTAAGTTCATTGCCTGTGATTGCCTGGTCTGTGTGTTGTATATTGTTTCATGAGATATTTACCCTTTTTGATGCATAGGCAGCTCCTGGGAACCAGGTCAGGGGTCAGGTCGGAGAAGGATGAAGAGCCCTTTGACTCGCTTTTTCCATGCTTGACATCCTCGTCGAGACTCGGTCCTTTCACTGGGGCGGTCACCGGAGTGGATATAGATCTCTGAACTCGTGCCGCAAGCCACGAACCTACTTGCATGCATGTGGGCATTCCTCAAGCCAGCTTTCGTTTTGAGGTCTGATGGGATTTTGCTGCAGTGACGACCCTACCCTCATCCTTGACCCCAGACCCCACACCCCAGTTTAGTGTTGTTGACTCAGGCTTCGGAGACATGTTGCATGGTGCATCTGAGCCTATCTTCTCCGAGCTTAGAGTTCCCCATGCCTTTGGCAAGAAATTCAAGGTTGCGGCTTCGAATTGAAGGATCCTTCGGGGTGCGCGGCTAAGGGGATTCTTGGTTTCAGCATTCGGTGAGTGCGCCTGAACGTGCCATGAAGCGCCGGCGGGCAGATGTGGTGCCAAGCCAGGCTATGGATTGGAGAGTGCCCAAGACGTAGTCCCAATGAGCCCTAAACCAAGCCTTGAGCCCTGATGAGAAGCAAATTCCTGAACCTTCTTCCCCGGACCTCTCCGAACCTTGCAGCCTGAAGCCCCGGCAAGGCCGCTGTCCTGCAAAACCTGTCTGAAACCCACAAGTTTGAGTCATTCAGGCTTCAGACATCGAATCCCAAAGAAAGGGGGTCCTAGGATAGGCCGTTTTGTCTAGCATCTCCCAGATGCTGAGTTCCCTAGCCCAGAAAAGGCTAGGCTCTTGGGCTGTGGTGGGGATGTATCTAAACCCTAGAGTGAGTTTTGTAGCATCGCCGTGAACCGTCGGCAGGTCTCGACATTTGGCTTGCGGGTCTCCCCGACTGGCGTATTGAAGAACTTGCTGCAGCAATACCCTTCCGGCGGGCAGTTCATACAAGAGGCCTTGCAAAATGCTGAAGACACGGGTCATGCGAAATGGTTCTCTGCGCTTCTGGATCTCAAGGAGCATCCTTGCGACAGGATCCGACAGGATTTTCATGATTGGCGATCGCGACTTCAAGGGCCTGCGATTCTGTTCTTTGATGATGGTGGGTTCGAGGAGAGTGATTGGGACAGCTTGCAGCAGATCTACGGCAGCAGAAAGAGAAGTTCGCCCAGTAGCATCGGGAGGTACGGCATGGGCTCCCGATCTTTCTTCCATATGGGTGATGTGATCCAAATCGTATCCGGTAGCCGCTACTGCATCTTGGACCCAGATGAACGGGTCTCTCGAGGAGGAATCTTTGGGGAAAAGATTGATTTGGTCAAGGATCGCTTCGATGGCAAACGCTTCTGCGATGCTTATCCCGATGAGTGCTCCCCTTTCGTCTTTGATCTGTTCGGAAGCGACATGCGATCACCACTTAAGGGCACGATTTTCCGCGTGGCTCGGCAGGGTACATACAGAAACGGGTTTTCAACTCACTTCCCCGGGCTTCTCTGAAGATACACCCTCTTTCTGTTGGTCAACCGAAGCTGCAGGCTTTTTACCGTCATCGGTTTTGAAGTCCTCAGTGGTAAAACTCACACAGCACCAGATCTCCGCACCTCTTTCAAGAAACCTTTCGGCACCTCGGCTGCAACCCCAACCCTTGTCAGGTACCGCTGCGGAGGAAGGCATTTGCTGAGCTCTCCCGCTTCTGCAACGTGGCCTTCACTGTGAAACGTGCTCGCGAAGTCTTCAAGGTGCCGGGGGGGCTTCGGACTTTCGCAACTCAAGAGTGTGGGTGGTGTTGTGGGGTTTGTGGTTCGAAGGTTAGGAGACCTTGCTTCCGCAGGCCTTCCAGAGGAGCCTGGAGCAAGGTGGCTTGGCTGCTGGCGGGTTGCTTCCGACGCCCTAAGACCCACAGGGTCGGGCTCGGGGTCCGTATAGTTTAGTGTAGTTCGCCTTGAGTTGGCTCAGGTCGCATTGCACTTTTTTTGTCCAACTTGGCGAAGCTGGAGCTCTACAAGCGCGAAGCTGAAGACTCCGAGCCAGAGCACCTCGTGACGTTGGAACTGAATCCACAGCAAGGTGGTCGGACCCTTGGGGATGTGAAGCGCTTCCTGCAGAAGTTCGATGACATGAAAGCCCTTCATGACGGGTTGAACCTTGGGCTTGACAGTGCTCCCGGTGTCAAGGAGGTGGTTCGTCTGAGAGTCTCGGGCCCAGTCTGCTCCAAGACTCCTCCGGAACACTGGCTAAGATTCGGGCGGTTCTTTTGTACAGGCGAAATGAGAATCCATGAGGTGCCTTTCATCTGTCTTGCAGTTCCGCTGACAGGAAGCTGTGAAGGTCAGGCCTTCGTGCACTTGCCGTTGCCCATACAGACCGGGCTACCAGTACACATTCACGCGGGCTTTGTGCTTCACGACAATCGTCGTGGTTTCTGGCGATTGAAAGCCGACCTGGATGGAGAGCATCGGCAGTGGGCAACTTGGAACGAGCACATTTTGAAGTTCGCACTTCCCGAGCTCTATGCCGATGCATTACAATTGCTCATGGATGCAGCCGTGGAGGACGACCATGACACTTGTGAGGAATGGCCGGTGAAGCTGACACAAAAGGATGCATTCGACCTCTGGCCATGCGTGGGCAAGAAGACAGACGACTTCCAGGTAGGTTCCTCTGTAGACTGCCTTTGATCTTCCCAACAGTAGCGGCTCAGGTGGTTTCGGGTCTATGATGTTCCGTCGGAGCCCGTAGGTACTGCTGGAGCACCTCGTCAAGCATCTCGAAGATAAGAACATCCTTCCTATGAATCAAGACATGGTCAGCCCAAGAGAGGCCATTCTTCTCGATGGCGGACCCAGCTTCGCGCAGCACAAGTTCCTGCCGGCGATGCAGAAGCTTTGTCGGAAAGCAGGGCTAAACGTGGTCAGCCTTCCGGAGCATGTGGCAGGGCTTCTTCAACATTACGAAGCCATTCGCAGCAAGAACTGGTTGTGGGCCTGTAGGCAAGCCGTCTTTCCACACGCCAAGACCATCCCCGCGCAGCAGCTCATCAAGATCATGCTGGCCTTATTGCACTGGGCCGCGAAGACCGGCAACGTTCCTAAAGTGGCTGCAGAGCTTCGGTCCGTGGCCTGGATCCCGACTTCTGTGCCGAAGACGCTCGGTGGCACTTTCTCATTCTCGGGAGTCACGAAAGGAGTGGGAGGACGCTTCTGAGCGGTCAGCCCAAACCCAGAAGAGAGAAGCGGGCTCAGGAGCATCCCAATCCAAGAGGCATTCGACCCACATGCCGGGCTGCCAGAACTGGGCATCGTCTTCGCGCGAACAGCACAGCTGTCAAGCTGGATCGAGGACACTTTTTGCGGGGATGATGTGCCCCGCCTGAGGGTTCATCGTCACGCAATGTCACGCAGGCATGCATTTCAGCGATCTAGAAGGCGGTTATGTGTTGCCCTTTTCGGCACGGACTGAGGTGGACTTGCTTTGGGATGTGCTTCGCCAGTGCGGACTACAGCAACAGCTCAGTTGGCAGGATGTTAGTGAGGAGGCCAAGTCCATAGCAGCTTCTGGCAGCTGCGAGCAGGCAAGACTCCTTTTCACGCACGTGGAGGAAAATTATCAAAAGATGGGGAATGATCACAAGCAAGAGACTCTGAAAGCTTTGCAAGGCCAGGCCTGGATACCAGCATGTATGCCACAGTGTCCAGAGGACCGGCTGGCAGGCAAGGCTGCGAAATGCAAGCTGCAGAAGCTCTCGGACCTCTTCCCTAGTCAGGAGGCCGACCTGGTCTGGGCAGTGGAACCCACAATGCACAAGGACCTGCAAATGCCAACACTTCTCCTGGCCAAGAGGTCCGTTCCCGCCGACCCCGATGTCTTGCTCCGGCAGTTTGTAAGCTATGTTGATGTGTGTACCGAGATCGTGGAAGATGCTTGTGACACACCGCAACTCAGCAGCCTGCAGCTTAAACATGCTCTCCATCTCTGACGGAATACAGGGCTTCTTGAGCTCTTCATCCCGAAATCGAGTGGAAGACGCAATAGCCAGAGTATCAGTTTGTACAGGGCTGGTCGTTGTCTTTCGTGCTTGATGCTAGGCTGTCGGTACCGGTACCGCCCCAGACATGGTATTCGTGTCCTTTACATGGGAGTGCCCTTGCGAAAGCTGCAGCGTGCAAGGTATCCACGCGCTCGTGAAGTTCCTGGGAAGTTGTGGCGAGTGCACATGACGAAGCTTTTGCAGACCATGGCCGAGCACAAAGCGAGCATCAGAAGTAAGCTGATGAAAATCAGCCGCAATCGTGCCTGTGTCCCTTGCCTGGCCGGTGAAAAGGTGCTACTTCATTCGCTTACATGTGTGGCCTTGTCGGCTTACTCTCACAGCGCGGAAGTGCTAAGCCCAGCGATCGGAATTGTTCACCCAGATGAAAGGGTGCGGTCGTTGGCAAGGGAGCTGGATGTGTCCGAGAAGCCTGACATGGAAGTTCTTGTGGAGCTCATACAAAGACAACGAGCCGATGTTGCACGTGCATGTGTGCTGTGCAGGGAGCTTGCCAAGCCGTTGTTCTTGACTGCTAGACGAAGGCCCAAGAACTTCCAGAACTTGTTGGTGCCAACCTCAAGTGGACGGCTTTTGCCTCCGTCCAAAGTCTTTCTTGACGATGCCCCCTGGACCAAGAGCGAGCACCTCGAGACCCTCGACTCGCGATTGTCCACGCAGGACGGCCGAAAGCTCGGTTGCACATCCATCCGCGACCGTTTGGCAGCGGAGTGTGAGGTCGCTGCGGATGTAGACGGATTTGGACAGGAAGAAGACCTTGTCGACAGGGTGTCGCTGGTCTTGAAAGACTACAATGAGCAATCTGATGTAGTTGCAGAGTTCTTGCAGAACACCGACGACCACGGAGCGAAGAGGCTCGTCTTTCTGTTAAGTGACAGGAGCTTCTCGAAGGAAAAGCTCGTGGATGAGCGCTGTCGCGCTTTGCAGGGCCCAGCTCTTTACATTTGCTCGGACAAAGCCCTGGAGCCGAGAGACATTGAACGCATGCAGCGGGTGGGGTGCTCTTCCAAGCGCATGGATTTTCATTCTACCGGCCGCTTTGGGGTGGGACTCAATGTGATGTACAGGTACTCCGATTGCCCCCAACTGCTGGCAAACGACCGAGTGCACTTCTTCGACCTCAGGAGAGCATTTGTGGCCAAGGATCGCGAGCGGCGTGGGAAGCAGTTTCAGGTTGACAGTTTGAAGACGTCGTTTCCTGACAGCTTCACGCCGTTCGAGGACTACAGGCACCGCTTCCCCGTGGTTTTCCGACTGCCGCTGCGCAGACAGAGGTCGGATCTGGGGGAAGCATGCAGCCTTGCGGCCGTCCGACAGGAACTGAGTGACGTCTCCGTCGATGCGGGTTCCATGCTGCTGTTTGCGAAGTCAGTCCGAGAATTGATGTTCGAAGATGCAGGCCGCCTCGTGGCAAAGCACACTGTCAGTTTCTTGCATGGGTCCGAAGAGCGACACGATGCATTCATCAAATCGCTCCCATGCACAGTGGCTGAACTCCAAGATCAGATCGCTTCGCGAGCTACAGATGTTACAGTTGTGAAGCGAATGACGAGCCAAAGGGCAGCGAACGTGGTGAAAAGGAAATGGATTGTTGCATACAGCCTGGCGGCTTCAAGCAGCAAGCTGAAGGAGTTGAGCAAGAAGATGTTCGATCATGTGCTTGGCTTGGCAGTGCTTCCTGTTGCAGCAGCGGCTGCACCTCTGCTGCTGAAGCCTTGCAGACGAAACGGCCGAATTTGCTGTGGCTTGCCCACGCCCTTGCAGACTGGCGCAGTTTCCTGGATTCATGGTGAATTCGTCCTGTCCTCCAGCCGCCACTCGGCTCAGGCTTGAGGAATCAGTCATTGAGCACTAGGGGTGTGAGACCGTTGAATAAGCCATCTCAGAGTACGTCTTGGGGTGCAGCTGAGGCAAGGTCATCCCTTTACCAGACGGCACTAACCATGAAATTTACAGGCAGTGGAACGAGGAGCTCTTGAAAGGGCCTGTCGCAACAAGCCTGCGTTCCGTTTTGCTTGCGCGCGCAGACTCTGTGCAGGTGCCTAAAGACTTGCCAGGCTTCTTTGCCGTGCTTCCGCGGACGGACACTCCGCTTCAGTCCATCATCGCCGAGTCCGCGATGCGAGCTTCGCTGTCCTATCAGATCTTCCCAGTATTTGCAAGGTCCGAGAGCCAGGGCGCGATGCAAACAAGATGGATGAAAGGACCCGGCCCCCTGTTCAAGACCGAAGGGCTGTCGGATGAGCAACAATACGCACTTGCGTTTGATGGGCTGGAGCTGGTGACAGTCCCGCCAAGGGTTCGAGAGCTCTACAATGCCGTGCGCAAGCCAGAGCACGCTAAGGAGCTGGGTGCACAGGAGCTATGCTCGTTTCTTAGGCGCCAGTGGAAGCAAGGCTCAAAGACCGTGGACTTCGCCCAGACTGGGTTGGCATCCCTTTCAAGTCACGAGCAAGCTATCGCGATGCTCAAGTTCATTTCAGACGAATGGAAAGTTCAGCTTCAGAAAAATCCAGTACCAGCCATTTATGATTGTAAGCACTTGCAAGGTGTCCCCCTTCTTCTAACGCACGCAAATCGGCTTTGTGCTTTCAATGCGGAGGCCCCAAAGTTTTCAGGAGATCATGACTTGCTCCCGAGGCACGTGGACCTGTTTGCACATAGAGATGTTTTGACGGCCTTCAAGACATTGGATGTGTGCCAGCCGGAGGTGGAGGTGAGGCCTGCAGGTCTTCGCGACTTTGGATTTGCCGACCTCCTGAACTTCAAGGAGCAGGTGACGCGGCTGGTGGTTGATCAGGGCCACGAATGCAGCAAGAACTCCATTTTGAAGCATTTGTGGAGTTTCATCGCACGGAAGGGGAATGTCAAGGAATCCTGGCTCGCGGCGCTTTCTGAGTGGAAAATACTGCCTGTTGATGCCGGTAGCAGCCCGAAGTTGCGACCATTGAAGTTTGCACATCGAACCCTATGGATGAAGCGCAGCAGTTACTGGCGTGACGATGAGAAGAGATTGCAAGAGGTAATGGCTGCATGTGGCATCTATACTCTGCAAGATTCTGCAATACGTGCAGAGGAAGATTCTGCAATACTTGCTGCTCTGCACGATGTCGTTGTCTGCACCGACTCTGCGGTTGTGGAGCTACTTGGCGAGCTTCCCTTGCAAACATGTCGAACAGACGGACTTGTTTTGTTGAAATACCTGTCTCAACTATGTCTGACTTCGTCATGGTCAGAGAGGATGACTCTCGTGACAAAGGGGCTGCTTTTGTTTCAATTAGCGCAGGGCGGTGGCTTCACAGACTTGACTGAGACGAAGGTCAGATTCTGCTGCGTGTGTCCCGAAGATCCGCATGCTGCGGAGTTGGAAGCCTTGCTTCCGCCAGGAGCCAGGTTGCTTGTCTGGCCAAGTAAGGAGCTGAAGCCGATCTACGAAGTCTGTGGGGTGGAGATGTGCCGTGGTGAGGAGTTCATGCTCGAATTTGTGCTGCCTTACTTGCCAGATCTTTGCTGGCAGGAAGATCAGTCTCAGGCCGAATCCATCTTAGCTCTTCTGTGTCAGTATGTCGTGGTGGAGAAATCCGACACTCTTAGGTCCAGATGTGCGGCCTTGCATTTCGTTCCTACTGGTGAGAATACAAGCTCTCGTCCCAGAGATCTTTTGGATCCAAGCCTGAAGTTATGTCAGTGCTTTGCAGACGTGTTGGTTGGGCATCTGCCTGCTGAGTGGTTCCAGAGCCCCCGCAACCTGAAGCTCTTACGCGAGCTTGGCTTGCAAAAGACCGTGACCCCCGATTGCTTGCTGATGTGTGCCAAGCACTTGGATCAGGGGGAGAAGGTGAAGCAGGTCTCCAAATCTGTCCGCAGAATGTCGTTCCAGCTGGTGGAGCACGTCGCACGCCATCTGTCTCAAAAGCAGCCACCAAGCAGCCCGGTGCTTGAAGCGGCTAGGCTTCGCATCTTCGTCGCTCAGCAGTTCTCTGATCTTCAATATGAAACGAAGCTTAGCCAGACCAAGGGTTCCGACGAGTTTCTTGCATTTCTTGCCAGCGGAAGCAAGAGGAAGCTGATTCTGACTGCAGCTGGGGGCACTTCCTTCGCAAAGTCACAAAAAGTTCTTTGGAGCCAATGCCCTGTTGCATTCCGCACCGATCCGGACGGGGGACGCTCCACGCAGTTGGACAGTTTGCTAAGTCATCAGGGAGATGTTCTGGAGAAGAAACTTGGTGCCTATGTCTGTACGAAGACTGTCCCTGCGCCTTGCATCATCGAGCATATCCGAAATCTCTGCATGCATCCTGCTGCTGGCAAGGAAGAAATGACCATCCCCGAAGGCACTGCGTTTCATGAGCATCTGCTGCTGTGCTGGGACCTCTGCAGAGATGCACAGAAGATGCCAGGATGTTGTAAGGACTTGGGCGAGGACCTCCGCTGCATCCCCGTGCATCTGGAGGATGCTGCAGACAAGCCGAAGAGGAACTCGTTCACGCTGGCCAGCCCGAGGACGCTGGCTGATGGCCACGAGACAGTCGTAGGCGCTATTAGTCAGATGTCGGGATGTCTGACCCCCTGGATCCATTTCCTTTTTTGCAGGAGGTGCTTCCTGTTCGAGACAGGCTACTGCTCAGCTGAAGACTTCCAAGGGTACGGAGCTCAGGAGAGTTCCCCAGCAAAACCGACACGAAACCCGGGTGCGTCTTAGACCCAGGGGCCCAACTCCTGCACTTCCTTCCCTGAGCCCGTGGATAAGGCACCTGCGGAAGGTGGAGCCGAGCTTTCGAGACCTCTTCCAGCACATGGGCTTTCCGACAGAACCAGGCCGGCGGAGCGGTTTCTCGCTTCAGGGTTCTACTGTTGATGATAGAAATATATATACATCCTGCATTACCTTAAGGACCCTAAACTTCGGGAATTATGGTATATTCCTTATTATGGGTAATGCAGGGTTTATATCATCAACCGTAGGACTTCAAGAATCGAACTGGTTGGGATTTGAGCCCTTGGTGGTCTGCTCGCAGATAGCCCTGTGAGGTCCAGAGACGTTTGCTTACGTCACAGCACAGGTCGCCGACCGGGTTGCCGGGCTCCTGCGTAAGGGGGCGAAGAAGATGATCGAGAATGAAGCTCGCGTGGTGGAGGCATGCCTCTCCGGTCTGCACTGCTCTGTTCAGGATGGTTCGGCGCAGAAGACCTTGATTTCTTTGCAGCAGCGATTCTACTGGTTGGATGACACAGATGAATCAAGCCTGCGCCCGGCGAAAGCGGTCGATTTGGTTTGGGCAGATCTTGATGAGTGGAAGCCTCGAGTCAAGGACCGACAGCTTCGGCTAGTATCCGAAACCCGTAGCTGCATTCCAAGAATGTCCAGGATGTAGCTCTTACACGTAATAATAGGGGAAAGAAGAAGTACGGAGACGGCAGCTGAAGGGGGATCCTCCAGTCATGCCATGTGAGGAATCGGACTTGCGATTTTGCCAAGCAGGCCTGCCTGAGTGCAAGCTGTCCTTGTTTCAGGTATTTTTGTGGAACTCATATCCACCATCTTTCCCAGCACAGGCAATGCTGACGGCTGAGCCCGAACAGGCTAAGAAGTTGTACGTCGTTGTCGTACAGCAATGGTGACGCTGGTGCAGACTATCATCATCATGGTCGTGGTGCTAGTTATGGTGCTGCTGACGATGATGCCTTGTATTGCACGCGATAGAAGCCCTCTGTTTGCAGGAGAAACAGGAGTAGATTGAAATGACTCACATCTATCATGCCTCGGGTTGTGCCCTCGCACCGTCTGCCCTACAGCCATGAAGGCTAAGCCTTTGGCCCGAAGTCCTTTCGGACCTGCATGCCATGTCCCGGAACTCCGTGAATGTTCTTCGGTTGTGTCTCTGATGAATTTGTTCACGACCGGCCAGGGCACCAATGGGATGAGATGCTGGAATCTCTGGTCAAGGCTGCTGGCCTGCAGTCTCACACCTTGAGGCAGCGTAGGCTTGGGTTTGCCATGGTTGACGGATGTGAAGATTGTGGCACGTGGTCGGGTTTGGGGATCTGTGTTGCATGGTGTTAGGACTTGAGCCTTGGCAGCTTGTCGAGGTCGGAGGCTTGCGGCGACTGTCTGCTACAGCGGCATGCTTTGAATGGACTATTGCAGAGATTGATGTGTGAAATTTGCTGGGAAAGGTCGTGGCTTGCGCTTCTGTGTGCGAGTGTTTGGCGGCAGATAGTGTTGGCTGTTTGCCACAGATCGAGCCACCGTCCATGTTCACTCCACGACCAGTTCGGCCCTAGTGATAGCGGTTCGACACAGTTCCCAGACCCGATACCCTAAATCCCAAACTCTTAAACTGGAAGCCCAGGACCTAGACGCTAATTCCTGAGCCTAAGCACTATCAACACCTAAACCCCACAAGCCCTCCCCCCCTCACTCTCTCACCAGGTCATCGAGCTTCCGCTCAACAAGCAGCGGCATAAAAGCAACGCCCGTGGAACCACGAAGGACGAGTTAAGTGAGGATGCCCTGGGGGTAGTGCGAGCCAATGGTGTGAAAGCCAGACGCGAATCCGGAAGCCCATAACCCTCAAAGAGTGAAGATCCCCTGCAGGAAGCGATTGCCGCGCTTATGAAGTCCACCGAGTTTATCGAAGCACTCAAGGCTTTCGGACGTGCAAAACGGGGATACTGTAACTTACGAAGAGCAGTCTTCCTTGTGTTCACTATGACACCCTACCCTGAAGGCTATTCTTGCCATGCCCCTGGCTGCAGCGAAAGGAAGGAAACATCGAGCAGGAAAGCGCAAAGAAATGCCAGAGACACAAGGAGCGGAAGGATGTGGCGATGACGAGACAGGAGCCCAGCGGCGCTGCAAGAGCTTGCAGTTTCATGCCGTGTCTGCGAACTATGAGACGGCACTGCACTTGCTTGACAAGCAGGGGACCGAAATACCAGGAAGCCGCCAAACAGTTTGTGCCTACTGGAGCCGGGACGAAGACGCGATTTATATCAGTGACGACGCGGTTGAAGCCCAGGAACAGACCATCAAACAGTTGACAGCCATCGTCCGCCGACGTTTCCCGGAGGCCGCGCACCTGAAAGACCCCGCAGCTTCACATGCCATCGAGGAAGTGTTGAAATGTGCCTACGTCGGTGGGCCGTCTGCCATCGCAGCTGCACTCTCCAGGACCGAAGTCAAGACAGACATGCTCACGCAGAAGTGTCTCTGTTGTGGGGATGAGCTGCCACCGGAGCTGTCGGACTGCTTGGTTCAGTCCATGGATGGGACCTTCGAAGTTGGAGAGTACGTGGCAGTGCTAGTGGATGGGACGCTTCTGGTTGGCAGGGTAGAGGTCTGGAGTTCGCAGAGCACAGACAACACTCCTCGGTTGATGAGGCGCTACCGCGTCCTTGTGCACGAGCTACGGACAGTGTGCCACATTGACCTGTACAAGCTGCCCGGAAACACGTCAATGTCGCCTGGCGAGTCTACAAAGGAAGTCCAACTGGTTCCCTTCTTGGGCGCAGCTGAAACCTCGGCTGAGATGTCTTCCGACCTCCAGCGCCGCGAGCTAGAACGAAGGAAGCGGCAGTTGCGTGAGATGATGTGCCTCTCCAAGGAGGACTACAAGAGGGCCGTCAAGCGCCTGTACCTGGAATGCCACCCAGACAAAGCCGGGAACACACCCTTTCACAATCGGGTCTTTCGCATGATCCGCGACCACGTGCAGTGGTTCATGTCTGGGCGCAAGGGGAAAGATCCGCTCAAGGAGGACATCCGAGTATCTTCAGTGTAAGAACTGACGATTGAAACCGCTGGGAAACATATTCACTCCGCACTGCCGCGCGTTGCAGGATGGCGCCGACTCCGAGACGGAAAGAGGGGAGGAGGTGCCTTCTCCGGCTTTGCCGAATTCTACTAGACGCTCCGGAGCTTCAAAACTCATGAGTTACGTGGGGTTAGTGCGCAGACGTCTGCAATTGAGGTTAGGTTTTCGGTGTGCTTAGTCCCGGCATCACAAGCTATCACAGGTTATACGGAAAGCGAGAGTGTCTTCCATTTGTGCCTATCTCTATCCTTGTCTCCGTCTTGATCTACCGATCGACCTATCTGTTCACCGATACTATGCAGCATTGTTTGAGAATGCACGCCCTAACCCACCAAGCCAAAAAGGAGAAGCCCTATCAAGCTCCGAAGTCCATGCCGCATACGGCCCGCATTTTCTTTCAGAGCTTTCTGATGCAGGACTCTGGCCGTACAGATTTCAGGCCGCAAACATTCCCGCAGGCGCGGCAGGCTCGTGTTTCGGTTTAGGATGTTGGGGTTTCTGCTTTGGGGTGCAAGCTGCACCGCGCATTTTGAAGCCCCCTGGGCCCTGACACCTCAACATCCTACTTTTTTTCGAAACCTTAACGGGCCTCGGGCCAGCGTCCGGTTCGGGCCAATGTTGTGTAGGGGCATGAGTCGGTTTAAAGGTCTGAAATTCTCTAGTCTAGGGCCAGGCCCGTGTGCATCCTGCTGAAACAGTGAGCCTGACGCCGTGAACATAAACTGAAGTAGACCAATAATTTAGCCATGGTGGATGATAACAACGTTATGAATGATGGATAATGATCGACGTCATTGCACCGATGAAAATGCTGTTACCGAGATACGAGTAGGTTCCCGCATGTCAATGTGAGGCCTCCGTGTTTCGCGAGTTCGAGCAGGATCGCAAGCGCTTTGCGGCCCGACAGCAGTTCAGAACTACTCCGCCCACGACCTTCCGCTTCGTCCCCAAGAGGAACGAGCCGGTGTGGTCTCCGCCCAGGACATGTGCGCATTCATCAGCCGGTCTGTCCTGTGTAGGCTTGGGTCCAGTGTCGGGCTTATAGGGTTTTCATTCAAATTCAAGCTGTCGTGATTCCCGTGTGAGGGAGCAAGGCTACGTTGACAAAGCCTGCTGCTGCGACACTCGCAGGTCCCCGATATTTCGATACACCATAAATCACATATATCCTGTAAGCCCCTGGTGCAGGACGGTCGATTTGGATGCGTCCCTTACATGGCTGCGTCAGGCTGAGTACGACCTCAAGGTCTGTGTCCGCATTGCCATGATCAATCACACTGCTCGCCTGTTTGTTTCACTTGTACTGTGATCACCATCATCACCTCGCCACCCCCCAACCTCCACCAACATCGCTGTTACCACCACTACCACCACCACCACCGCCACCACCGCCGCCAGATCCATCGCGTGGGAAAGGTTGGTAATGTAGTTCATGGTCATGAGTCATGCGAATGGATTTCTGCTTCCTAGCCATTTCACCGATCAGTTTGGCGCGGACACGATTTGTTGTCGTTGGCGTCCGTTTTTTGTTTTCTTGTCCGCTGTTACCAACGCTGCCCCTGCCACTGCTGGTGGCAGGTCGAGGTGTTTTTGACAGTGGCTCCGGGCACGAAGCATAAATTCGCAGCCCAGCACCCCCTAGCCCTAAACCCATACCTTGACTCCCAAATCCGCGGCCCAAGCCTCAATCAAGCCAACAAGTCTATACAGGCCATGGCGAAAATGGCTTCGACCGCCGCGGGGCCGCCCTTGCCAGCCCATGCAGTTTGGCTCGCTGCACAGGCGGCTTGACTACGGGTGATTGTTACTGGGATTCTCTTCGCTTGACTGTACGGCGCTTTACGGCCATGAGTCTAGCCATGAGGATGGTGATATTTGCAACGTT